GATGGCACCGCCCCCCCGCCCGGACCGCGTCTTTATCCAGGCAGCCATGCGGATCCTCACTGACGCATGGCCTTTCAATTTTGAGGTTAGGCCTGGGCGCCGTGTGGTCTTTAAGTCGGATATAGCTGCAATCGTCGGCGCCCGTGAGTTCCGATTGACTTTCAAGTCAGCCCGGCCCCGAATCGCGGATGGGTTCTTTGTTGGGTTTTGGACATCCGACGTCCCCGTCGTGACCGAGCAGCTTTCGCGGATCCCTTTTCCCCCTGCTCGTTGCCCTGACCCTCGGCTGGTCTTAGTGTTCTCTGCGCATCATCACGGAGCGGAGCTGCGGTGGCACTATCCTGAGGTGGCAGCTCTTCAGCAAAAAAGAGCAAGGTGGTGTTCCCCTCAAAGAAAACATCATCACCCCGGCGGCGGCCCCCAGAAACCCCGATTCAGAGTCGGCAAATGAATGGCAGGCTGACTTGAGCAAATCGTGCGAGGTAGCCAAGAGGCCGAAGATCCAGAAGGGCAAAAAGATCACGCACCTCGGACCTGGAAACACCTGTGGCAGCAGGAGACGGGACATCTTTGACCGCAACAAGAAAACTGCACCGGACCCCCTGAACATCCAGGTTTCCAATGGGGAACGTGCACATCAGCGTCGCCTCTGGAACCAGCCTAAGCCTTTCTGACATATACTGCACTATGGTTTGCCCATAGTGGTAGTGCTCCCGAAAAGTGTATCGCTGATCCTGATAGTGCACGCAAGTGGCCTCGTGCACCTCCGGCGGGAAGCAATGATGCAATGGGCCCCAAACACTATCTGGGAGAAACAAGGCCTCGATACGGTGTCCAGAAACGTGGGCAGCTGGATCGAAGAGCGCCGTAACAACGTCCCCATCAGTGAGACGGACGAACTCGCACTGAGACCAAGATCCCTCGGTGCACCCAACAAAGAACTGCACGGGTCGGTCGTCGTGCCCGGTAAGCGGGAGGATAAATTCCTCCAAAGCCTTAACCGAGAGTCTGCGCGGAAGAGTTGTAGCAAAATAATGGCCGCCTACTCTGGACAGATCACAGACGACTGCCGCGAAACCTTCTTCTCCTAACCGACCAAGGATGCTAGGGTAGCGGATGTACGACGCATATCCAGAAAAGCGCTGAGGCTTGAGCGCCGCCGCTGCATCGAACAACCCGGCTGGAACCCCTGGGGCCGCAGCCAGTATAAGCGCTTCAACAGACTCCGAAGTGCGCTCCCGGGGCTGAACAGCAAAAGCTTCCGGTTGGTAGAGAGGTATACCCCCAGCCATTCACTGTCAGGCGTATCCGCGGCCGGCGGCGCAGGCCAAGGCACAGGCGCCCTAGAGATGCGAAGACAACGTCCGCGACCCTCAGGCTCAGCAGAGGCAGGAATGTCGCACGTACCGACATGATTGGTGAGATGGTCAGGTGGGATCTGATGTGGCCGACGCACAGGACCATCGCCAGCAGGCGAGTCGACAGAATCCGGGGGCCGAGCCATGGCCCAGGCAGCAGAGGGGGCCAAAACCCAGACCGGACGAGGAAAAGCGGTCGCCTGTACGGGATAAGGCACGCTAAGAAATGCCAAGCGCCACAAGAAAACACGCTGAGACAGGCGACCCAGGGAACGACTGGGACCCAACCGTCTTCCACACCGCGAGCGGCGATAAGGCGACCAATCAAGAACCGTGCGAGACGGCATTGAAAAACCCAGCGCAGCAAGGGCATTCACATGCCGGCCCACAAAGGACCCCGAGCGGAGACACATGAGCGCGCAGAGGCCTGCCAAGGAGAGCGACAAGGAGCAGAAGAATGGCAAGAATCCAAGTGCAGGCCAAGGGCACCAAGGCGTCACCAAGACAAGCAAGCGCGCACTCCCATCCGCCTGAAGAACCCTGCGAAAAGGAGGACAAAAACCCTCGCTCGGCTATGCAACCAGGAGGGGAGCGACAAAGAAATGCACTGGCAGTGGCAAGCGACAGCGAGGTGACTTGGTTCCGAACTTTCGTCCCAGAGCCACCGATACGAATGTTTGGCGCATAGGAACCAAGAACACCAACCGCCTCCAAGGCAGCACAAGAAGGCCTGACACAGCCAAAACTGACAAGGAAGAACCCAGCTGCCATGGAAGCGCCGAAGAGGAGAGGCGGGCACCCCAGAGCAACCGATGTGCCTCTTTTGCGCTCTCTCCAGCTCCGGCACTCATCAAAAACATGGACAGCACAAGGTCCGAACAGGGTGCGAGTGCCCAGAAGCGGCGAGGGAGGGCAAGCAGCCGCACAAGACCAGTGCAGTGCCAGCCCCCGCGAGGAAGAAAGCAGGGTGTCCTTATGGAGCACACAAAGAAAGTATGCCCAAGGAACAGCCCGCAGCGACATAGAGGACACAGAAGTCCATCCAGAAAGGAGGAACCGAAAGGAGCCAAACAACCCACAAAGCCGCACCAAGTGTCCAGAATCGCAGAGAACTGGGTGCCCAGACAGGGGTGACAGCAGAAGGCGAAGGGAGAAGCTGCCGCCGCGAGGAGGAAGCAAGCCGATAGCATCCACTCTCCAAAACCCAAGGAGGGGATGCGCCGGCAAGCAGCGAAAGAATCGGTCCGGCGGCAATCTGCAAGGCTGAAACACAGCGAAACACGCAGGCGCTCCCAGGGCAAGACCCGAAAAAGACGACCCTAAGCGAGCTGTACAGCAGGTGAAAACACAGACCTCGCCGACCAGCACATGCAGGAAGCCGAGTAAGTAGGCGAGCGCCACCGGGAGAGGAAGAGGAAACCTGCCTCACAGAAGCAAGAGTCCGTCTAGTCCCGTTGGCCTGCCGACCCAAAAGGCGCAATGCACTTGCTTTCGAGAGGTCTGTCCCCAACTCACTCCAGCCGTCCGAAGCCTGGTGATGCAGCACTCAGCTCCTCCGTATCGTCTTCCACAAGGTGAGGGCGGCCGCCACCGCCAGGAGGCTCGCCAGTGTCGGTGTCCTGCTTGACATGCGTAGAGGCATTTGCACCTGATCCTCGGAAAGGCTGAAGAGCAGCACCGCTGACATCTGCACGCCGCCTCTCCAACTTCTGAAGAAGAGAAGGACCCAAAGCAGCAGGCTTGGGCGGAGGGTGCTTGGAGGCCTCTTTCACAGGGGTCCTCGCAGGAAGAACCCCATGTCCAGTGCCAGGAATAGCAGCCTCGTGAGGAGTAGGCTCGTCGGCCGACTTCGAAGGCAAACTCGGCATTGGGGAACTTGGAGGATACGGTGCGGGCCGCAAGGCGCCAGCACCTGGAGAGGCAGCAGCATAGCCTGGGGCAGGAAAGGCACCAGCCGCCTGACTCACTTCCGGAGCAGCAACTGGCGCAGCCTGAGGACCACTGAGGCCAAACCGGGAGGACCGGGCACCGACATAGGCGGCGGCAACCAAGCTTTCCATCAACGGAGCTGGCATCATGCTCAGTCCCGGACATCCTTGAAAGGCGGGATCACCACCACGATGCTGGAAGGCCTGTGCAGCAGCATAGGCCTGCTTCATGAAATCCAACATAGGTGGCTCCACAGCCTGGCTCAGCATCTCTTCCCACAGGACCTCGTCGTTGTGGACTGGATCCTCCTGTTCCATGGCACGAGGGCCATGCGTCACCAAGTTGGTCATCAACTTGGCAGCTTCCTCGCCTTGTGTCTGCAGAGCGGCAACCTCGACCTCGATAGCCTCCATGTCCGCATCGAACTGCCTCTTCTGCTTCATGAAGTTGGCAATGGTCTGTTGGCGCCATTGCTGCCATTGAATCTGCTTCAACTCCTTCGACTCCAAAAGGTTGCGAATCTTGGCATCGCAGCGCTTGGATGCCGTGAGTGCTCGCTGCACACCACGCATCATATCTCCCCTGCTCTCTGAGTCGACGGGCGGCCCAGCAGCTGGCATCTTCCATGGTTCCGACGTCGAGGAGCTGCTCGTAACCTGCACCTGATCGTACCTCGGCGGTGGACCAGCTTTGGCCTTCGGCTGCTGCACGATGGCGATTGCGGCGCAGGGAGCGGTGCCAAGTAGGCGAGCGTGTCGTCTTGACACTGGGGCTCTAGCAATGAGAGGCGCTATGCCTCACTCGATCCAGAACCCTGCAGTCTATCTAATTAATTCCAACGAGAGGCAAGAGCTCTGCTTGCACATCGACAACCGACGCGGTAAGTACAAGATCCTGCCAGTTTCGGCGTTCCGAGGATTTAAGAGCATGTGTGCGCCGGAAGGAGTTCTACAGCCCTGCGCCACCGAAAACTTTGTTGGAGCAGGCTATGCCGTACTCATGTCAAACGCCGATATTTCAATTTTGATCTCTGAACACCTCCAGGTAGAAGATGCCGCCCTTGCAGCAGTGCTCCGCAAAGCTAACAGCCCGATGGGGAAGACCCTTGCTGTTTCGGCACCTTGGATGCAACAGGAGCATGTTATAGGGAAGTGTCGCACATGTCCCCGTTTGGGATTCGTGCTGAACTTGCCGGCCAAACCTCTTCACTTGCCTGCAGCTAGGCCATACAGACGATCGCACCAAAAGTCTTTGCAAATTCGAACTTCGACCAGTCCGCCCCTCAGATGGGACAGGCAGTCGGAAATCCTGCCCAAGTCCCGGAGTGGTTGAGGTGCCGAGCCAGCGAGACTGAGCACACCGAGCAGGGCTTCCTCTCTGACATCTTCACCGTGTGAAAGCAGCGATCAGTGAAATAATTGTTGCTGCATGTACTCCAATGCCAGAATTTCAATCCGCTGCCATGATCTATGTGGCCTTTCGCTTGCAGTGGCCTTTAGAGTTTTAGCTAGCTTCCCACTGTCGAGCGGTTAAGCACTTTCAAGCTTTTGATCGGCCCTTCGGCTGACTCCGCAACATTCGTACAAAGATATGATTATATCGTATTGAAGAGCCGGGGCTTACAAAATCCCGGGCTGAAGGAGGCAGAAAAGGGCGAAGTGCGGCTGGCGATCCAATGCGAGGTTTGGATACCTGACTGAGTGTGCTCATAAGGTTCGAGAGCAGCAGAAGAAGTGGGAGGAGCTCAAGCTTCAGCAGCCTTCCCGTCTGAATTTGTGAGGGATTGTGTGCTCATTGTTCCCTGCGGAATGCATCGCTGAATGGTAGCAATGGTAGCTAGCCTGTCAGGCAGAAGAAGCAGGAGGAGCTGGAAGCTAGCGCTCGGGCTGCCATTTCCGAGCTCCAGCTTGCCTGGCTTGGCTTGCACCGCTAGGGCAGAAGCAGCTATGTCGGTGCATCTTGTCTGGCTGATGGCAGGAACATGGTTTCAACAGCGGAGGCCAGTGAAAACGAGATCAGTAACAACACCTTTGAACTGTGTTCTGTCCTCGCAAATGTCGCCACTTCCACCCATTAGCAATACCAAAACAGAAGCATAATTCAGGCTCATGCAGATAGTTACCAGGCGAGGTGGCCACAGACCAGTTGCGAATAGGTTGAGTTTGGGGCCTGCAGGTTGATCTTTCGAGTGGTCTTGGGCTTTTTTGCGGCGCAGTTTTGGTTTCGATTTCATTCAGACCAGAGTTTCCTGTCTCGCCTCTGCACGTAGCAATGGCACTTCTCTCATGCCCACTGTCAGTGGAGCTTTCCAACAAGACCGGAAATACTTGCGACCCCAGTTGTAGATGTCATTGCCTGCTTGCTGGGTTCATGGCATACGACTGGCAGAATAATGCTGTTTTCCATGCTGATCAACAGTTCTGTCTAGGGGGCAGTGCCGTGCATTGTCGGGCAGTTGTCAGCATGCCATTCTGCAGGCTTCAGCGGAAGGAGCGCACTACACTGCTGCCCCTTTCGTCCGGAACCTGGTTGGGTCTTTTAAGGCTTCAGCTGACGGCGCAACACAAGTCATGTTTTGATAGCCGAAGGCTGGCGACCACGAGATGGAGGTGGTGGAGGTTTCGGCTTTGCCGTTTGCCCGTGTCTGCACCGTCTGCAGCACTCAATTGACATCTGTTGGAGGTCCTGAAGCTGTGCAAGAAGGTGGAGCGAACAGGCCTTCTGCTCGAAGTCACTCTACGCAACTTCGGTCTCAGCATCTCCGAACGAAGGCAAGTCGGCGATGGCCGCGTGCCAGGCGTGCGTGGACACCTTGGGCAGCAAGAAAGCCTCCATCGAGGAGGAGCCTCCTTGCATGAGGGACTTCGTGACTTCGAAGAATTCGTGGCTTCCGGTCAGGCCGAGAACATCCGAGTTGAGACTTCGGCAGCCATCTCGGCCGTGACGCACTTGGTAAATCGGATGGTGGAGTGATGTTATTGTTAAAGCTGGTTCCTGACGGGGCTCCCGTGTCGCCAAGCTAGCACTGGCGACGCTTAACTTCGGCTTTGTGTGTGCATTGACGTTTTGGCAAGTATGAAGGCAGAAAATCGTGTTGACTGCGTCAAGGATTGCTGGAAGCCGAGTCGGAACTCGTTGTATCGCTGGAAGTTCGAGGGTTGGTTGGAAGGGAGGTTGTTTTGGCATCCGCCACTACGTCCCTCAAGAGCGAGGGTGCGGAAGGGGACGCGGCGAGAGAGGGGAATGGGTGTGGATATTCGCGAACAGTTTAATCTCGGCATCGCCTGCCCCTCTATTCGCAGCCGCGCCTTTGCAAAGACTGGATGCAGTTGCATGTGCTTGGACGATTCCACAAAGCGAGCTCTGAGTAGCCTTGGTGTATTGCACACGTGCTTTTTGTCGCAGATGGTTGACATTTGTGACTTTTCAGGAGGTGCTAAAGACCAGGATTCAACAAGTGACAAGAGACTGTTTGGAGATTTGGTAGTAGCTGGCCGGCCATCCCCCATCAACGAAGCCCAGCCTGCGGTGGAAATCTTGAACTGGTAATTTGTCAGTCGCCCGTCCGGGAGATGCTGAGCAGCTTAATCGTTGCAGCAGCTCCGGGCGCAAAGTCGCTGAACTGTGGGACGGAATCGCTCCGCCTTTGCGTTTTCTTAGTTGTGTTTGCATAGCTTGATGTAGGCCTCGGCCTGTGCTGGGTGCATCTCAGACTTAATGGAACACTCAGAAGTTGCTGTGCTAAGTTGCAGCCGCGGATCCAGGCCGTCCGATTCTGAATCGGCTCGGAGGGTCAGAGGGACTTGTGCTACTTTCTGCAGCTCGTGTATCCAAGGCCACAAGGCTCGTCACCGATGCCTTGAACAAAGCAAAGGACAACAGAGACAGGATTGTCGCTGCCCTGGCGAGAGAGAGCCCGTCATGCGAGAGTGCGCAGAGCCCGCCAGATGGTCCCCACTCCTGGAGCCCAGGCCAAGCGCATCGCGACGGCCAAGCGCAACGAGAAGAAGACATCCCTCTTCAGCAAGTACGACCAGGCCGAAAAGCCGCTGCTTGATATTTACAGCACTGTCCGCGCGCAACACTTCCTGCAGTTGCGGCATGAGCCGGTAGCTGCTTACAACCGTTGGTGTCTGGCTCGAGCGATAGTCGCAGAGTCTGCTGTGCCGGGTTCGCTTCGCAAAGGTGCAGGGCTCAGCTCGGCGTGTCTGTGGCGGCAAGCAAGCAGACGATGTGATGCAAGCCATCTAAGCGATGAGCAAGTGTGATTTGCAGTTGTATAGTATCTATCTCAGTCCGCGTGCACCGCACTCCATCCTGCGATGTGTGTCAGGCACCATGCCTCCTCAAAGACTTCCACGTGGAATTCTGCAGCCAAGCTGCAGTGTCGAGACCCACTCAACACGTCAGCCTGTGCACCTTTCGTACATGCCGGGACACGCAGTTGCTCCCTGAGTGCTTGAGCGGCAGCCTGCAAGGCCTGATGGCATTGATGTTCCGGAAGGGACGGCCGACGCCTCACAATGGCAAGGCGAAAGTTCGCGAAACGCTGGTGTCCATGTGTGCACGAGGACATCATGCAGTTTTGCCGGGACTTGGCCGAGAGTGTCTTGGCTGAGGGTTTGAACAAAGAACGCGACACCTTGTGTGGCCGGCTGCTCCTCCTTGGGGTCCCTAGTTCTCTGTTGTGCACAGGTGGAGCTGAGTTTGCCGAGCAGTTCGATCGAAGCAACCCGAAGTTCCACAACGGCAATCCCACAGTGTCCTCCCCGGGGTGCAAGCAGCCGCTTCCGCTTCCTTTCTGGAGTGGAGCTGAGCTAAGGCCGTGCCTCTCGGTGGTGGACGGGTTCCAGACTCCTTGGCTGCCTCCATGGCACAGGCACCGCCCTTTGTCGGGAAATGTTGCAACCCATGCTGCCGTACGCTTCTAGCTTGCACGTGCAGTAAAGCCAGTTGTGCCGCAGGCAGAGTCGAAGAACTGGCGTGACCTGCCGGATGCCCCCTTGAGCTTGGAGGTGTGCACAGAGCCCGAGAGCTGCATAAGCTGCCACATAAGTAGCCGCATAAGCTGCAGGATGATTATGGTCCGGAGCACAAGACGCTCATGGACGCACATAAGACCCTCAACGACTGCAAGAAGGAGCGAAGAACTGGGCACTGTTAGCTTTGGTGATCTCCTTCCGTAGCACGCGCAGAGCTGTTCGGGGCTGCAGGCGATTGCAGTCGTCAACAAGCCAGTGGCAGCTGGACAGGGATGGCAGAGAAACGATTTTCTCGGTTGCGATTGGCAACGCTTGCGTGCACAGCATCGCACAGCATCGCACAGCCAAGGAGGTTGCCATGAGATTGCGGTGTCAGTACCGAGATGCCGAGGCTTGGAGCTATAGACATGGTATGACAGATGGCTAGACTCTTCGACATCCTCCTGCGAGACTCCGCTTTTCTCGTTCATGTCAGGGTGACGACAAGGTGGCCTACGAGAGCAGGCTGAAAGGCGATCATGTGGACATGTGAGCCGTCTGGCTCTCCACCCTTCAGGGCCATAATGGTTGCTCCAGGCGCAGAGAACGACAGAGACGGGGCTCTGGATGCTGCTACAGTGACCCGTCACTATGAGCATGAGTGTCCTGTCGATGTCCACCACGCACTGCCGCTGTTCAACCAAGGTCACCATTCTCGGTATGAGCTCAGACGTCATTTCTGATCGCTGCCGAAAGTGTGTCGAGGATGTGGTTGCCAAGGCCCAGGTTGTTCGGAAGTTGGCTTTGGGAGCGGGTCCGTGCACTTCCACAGAATCATAGAGTTCCCTGCAGGGCAAGTTTGAGTTTGTCGACAAAGAGACGTATGGTGAATACATTCAGGCCAGGTGCTATGCTCCGTCCACGTTCGCACTATGCAGGGGCCTCGTCTCCCATTGTCCGAGGTGCTCAAAAGAGCAAATCAGGAGATCTTCATGGATCAAAAGAGACTTCTGCAAAGGATCAAGGACCTTGCGCCCTCCTTTACCAGAGCTGAGCTGTGAATTTCTCGAGTCTGAGACAGGATGTAAAGAAAGCGTTCAAGGAGCAGAGCAATGCTCGAGCAGAGATCCAGGAGGTGGGCACTTGCAAAGCCGCAGCGATGCTCCAGAATGACCACTCTTGTCCCGTCTCCACAGGAGCCCGACAATGCCCAGGAAGGGGCAGAGGGCGGCGCCTAGAGCGCACGGCGTCATGAGCGAACCGTGCCGACAAGGATCAGCACACAAATCCGCTCGCATAATGTGGTCGCCGTGATGCTTCTCTAGGCCTACGGCTCTGGACAAAGTTGCTTGGGAGTCCTACAGCGGCCCGCCATAGTTTTTCGTCCGTAGGGTTAGGATCGAGCATGAGGCAAGCGCGCATGCTGCTTGCCTCCACGATGTTTCACAGGTATTCAGTGCAGCCATCAAGATGGCCTGAATTCAGTCTGCGCAGCCTGGGGATTTTGTAAACCATCAGAACATCAGAAACCAGTTCTACAGCCGCGAAGGCGAGATGCAAGGTTGCGCAGGGACGAGGTATGGCCGAGTCCGCAAGACGCGTGACATCTCTGCAGGGGCTTGAAAAGAAGCAGAATCTTCTCCCGATCTGCTCGGCATCTGCAGGAGAGAGCATTCCTTCTCGCCAGGATGCAGATGGCCGGTGGAATCGAGCAGAAATCTCGGTCGGGTCCAGAGGAAAGCATGACAGAGCGAAGTAAAGTACCGACGCAGCCTGATTTGCGGCCTCGAGCTTCTGAGGCTTATGCGAAGGGCGAGTTCAACTTCGACCTTCCAGCAGAAAATCTTGTGCCGAGCTCTGGCTGTCCTGCAGAATCACATCCCCGAGTTCGAGTGCAGTCTGTACAGAGAGTGAGCGGGAGACAGAAAGAATTTGTGGCAGTGGAAGTTGACTGTCGCCCCGGCCACAGGACCGCATTATGCGGCAGATCTGCGGACAGTCAGAAGGCCTGGAAATGCCGAAAGCCGGCACTGGGTACGTGGCTTCCTGGAGAGAGAGAACTGTCAGAGTCAGTCTTCTTGAGGCCTTGCAATCGAATCCATGCAGCTGGTCAAAGTTGCTGTCGGTATTGCAAGGGAAGAGGCGCTTCATCTTCGACAGCGTGATGCACTTCGGAAGCTGTCCGGTGCAGTGTCCGGTGCCATTCTGTTCCAGGAAAAAAGCAAGGCGAAGCGTGAGCTTCGCCTGGAGCGTGAGCGGAAAGAGTGCGGAACCTGGACCTGCCGCCAAACCACTCACAGCGCACCCGAACTCCCAGGCGTGAGGAGCGCGAGCAGAAGGAGGCGGAAATCCGCGCGCGCCATGCGGCGCATTCTTCGGCTTGCAAGGCCTTCAATCCGGCTGTAGTAGCCCCAGGCCCCAGGCTGTAATCTGCTACAAGGTAACCGTAACCTTGGTGACTCAGTGTAACATCATCTGTACAAGTGACTCATCCCACGCCTTGCCGGTGCCAGGCCCTCATGGCTGAGCTCCAGGAGCTCGAGCCCACCATCGCATCAGCGGAGTCCATGTCCGAGGTGCTTCTGTTGCTTGGGTCTTGAGCACCGGAAGACGCGATGCCAACGAACGAAGAGTGGAGAGCAGTGCAGAGTCAATACTCCAGTGAAGCGGCCAGGCCATGGTGGAGGAGGCGAATGCTGGAAAAATCCGCGAGGCTCACGACCTCGAGCGGAAAGGAATTTTGGTTTCTGCCGCCCTCCTACCTGAGACAGCAAAGGCTCAGGAAGCCAAGCAGAGGCTTCAGGTCATCGAGACCGCAGTACAAGCCACGCACAGAGCTCAAAACTACCTTCTCCTAGATCAAGCGCGTTGTCTCTCTCTGTCTGTCTCTGTGTGTGTGTGTGTGTGCGCGTGCGTGTGTGTTTCCACTTGGCTCGCGGCAAGGCACAGCGCAATCGCCGCAGTGCAGCTGAAAGCCCAGGAGCTCAGCACAAAGGTAGCCGAGGCACGGACGCAGTGCAGTGAGATGCAGTTTCTTGTGCCGGGCCCTTGGGACCAAGCGCAGGATGCCGAGATGGTGGAGCACATGGCCCCGGAGCTGGCAGCGACACCGGCTATTTGACAGGGCCCTTCGTGTAGCCCGTGAGAGATTCATGCAGCCTGTGCGGTTTGCAAAGCCGATGGCAGGCCTTGGCAGCGAAGACCGAGAGCCAAGATCTAGCACTTCGAAAGGCGCGAAGAAAAGCGATGCTTGGCGACGGGAGAGAGCGACTCGTGATGAGATTTGTGAGCAAAGCTCCATCCCACTGTACTGTGCAGGCCTTGGCTTCTGCTGGCCAGGCCCGTCAGCTGGCACTGCACCGCGCTTTCGCATTGCCACGAGCTCGGAATCCAGCCCTCGAGAAAATGCTGGAAGTTCCAAAACTTTCCGAGAATCCAGGTACGAGGGCCTCCGAATGGAGGTGGCTGCGAAACTGCGAGCCGGCAGCTCTGAATTTCCAACGGTCCCGGTAGTGGCTAGAGAGCTGCAGCTCCTGTTCTGTTCGCGGCCGAGGTCTGCATCGAGACGCAGGGTGGGAAGGCAGGACGCATACAAATCCTGGTAGTCAAGTCGCACGGGAGTGGAACCTACGGAGGGCGCCAGACTTTTTAAGTCAAAAGTTCACAGAAGCACTCGCCAGCCCGACGACCTCTATGACGCGGTGAAGTCGGCTGGTGGTGGCACAGTCACAAGAAGCACCATCAAGGCCTACCTTGAGGCCAATCAGCGCCTTCCTTGGATACCTTGGGGCAAAGGGCGGGCAATCGAAGCGCCTCACCAAAACAAGGTCCGTCATTGAGGAGGCGCACCTTCAGACCATGTTCCCCAGCCCTGAGCCCTCCGAGTCGAAGGAGGCCGCTGAGGGGCGCAAAGCGGATGGCGGATGCGGAGAGAGCACGGAGGGCTTTCGGAGGGCTCTCGGCCAGGCTCAGGGTGATGGCCAAGAGTCTCAACAGCCTGAGATCAGCTCCTCGGCTCGGAGCAGTCTTCCGGGAAAATGCGGGCCTTTTTTGCTCTCTGGTTCCCTCGCTCAGGCAAGGAGGATTTCATGCACGTGATTCGGATCTTCTACAAGGCACATTTAGATGCCGCAACACGACGAAGGCCGCTGAAACTTCGAAGATCTTCACGGCCTCAGGTGGTGAAGGAGATCGTGCTCTCTGACAACCTGCTGATTGAGCAGAGCGATCAGCTGAGACGGATGGACGTCGGCGAAGTCATGGAGGTTTTCCAAGGCTCGAAACAAGCAAGAGGGGGGGGGGGCAGGCATGTGTTTTTCTTGATTTGCTTAGCACAGCGTGCTGAAGAGGCGTGTCGCCGTGTGTCATTTGAAGCATGCCTTTCAGGTCCGATGCTGGATCCATCTGTGGGGGTCTATCGGATTCATGGCAAAGCTCTCCGCGACGGCATCACTGGCTGGGTGACGGTGGCCGGCAACCAGGGGACCTCTGCCGACCGAAAACTTCCTGTGTATCTTAGACCCTTTCTTCTTAGAGTAGGAGGCTTGGATAGAGATTAGTGGGCTTCTATACTTCTATCCCTTTCTATCCCTGCGAAGAGACAGGCGCCCGATTTTCAGGCGCCTGTGGAGTTTGAGATGACCCAGTTGTGGAGCATCCTCCCTCGAATGGCCAAGTTTTTGCTGTGTGGGTCCATGCGAATCGAGGGGGTAGAGGGCTCCGTGTTGTTCAGACGTTTCGGGGTGTCCCCACCCCGCACCTGGAAAGTCTTATCACTCAGCACGTGACGTCGATGGTGCAAAGCACAGCGAGCCACAGGATCACCTTCCTGATGCCGGGGGGGAACCTCTTCAAGGCGAGATTGGGATGAAAAAGCACACGAGATGTCTCCTTCCAGCTGCCTTTGAAATTCCCCTTGAGGTGATCCGGCCGTCTCGCTTCACAGACTTTCCAGAAGACCTTGAAGGCGAACATGGTGTACGACAGCTGATGGAGGGCGAGATCCTCGAGGCGAGTCCGCAGCCTGAGGCTCGGAGGCTCGGGGGCCGATCTCGGCTGCGCTCGCAGGTGCTTGCTTGGCAGCGCGTGAAGGAGGGCACGCCAGCTGCGGCCGAAAGCTCAGATCTGCCGGGCCACAATGGAGGTTATGACGGATGCCGCAATGGATCCCATGACTCCCGGAAGTTGTAGCCGGTCACTTTGGCTGATCGGGACTTGGGCCTGGTCAGTGTTTTTATCTTCGGAGTCTCCCTCCTTTTTTGCGAGGTCACCCGACTGAAAGCAAAGCTGCAGGGTGCGAATGCAACTGGCTTCTTGGCTCTTGGCCTGCCCCGTTTCAGCTGCCTCGAAAATTGAGCAGTCGTTCTAGGGGGTTGGGGTTCTGCCTTCCATTCCATCGCCATCCATCTCCCACGCTTTCCCGTCCTTGTTTTGGCTGCAGGGGTCGGCTTCTTCTGTGTGCATGCGAGGATGGGTGTCGATGTCGGACAACGGCATTCCGAACCTCGAGGCGCTGTGGCCCCTCGTGGGGCTGTGGGATCCTGTAGGGACTGTAGGGTTCGGGGATGTTTTCTTTTTGGCGACGCCGCGCGTGGGCCCTGCAGGTTCTTTGAAATCTTGGCTTCGCCATCTCACGTGTGCCGCTGGTGAAAACTGCTGAGAGAAGCATCCAGTCTTCGCAGCTACTCGGTCCACAGTTTTCACGTACCAGCGCAAAGTGAGTACTCGTGCTGCATGCAGCGAGGCTACACTGGCAGCCAGGGCACTGTCTGGAGTGCACCGCCGGGCGGTTTTGGCGTCATTTGCACCTGAGCGTACTGTCCAGATGGCCGTCCGTAGCATTAGTATTGCAAGGAGTCCCATTCTCAACACCCCTAAGCTGAACCATCAAGTACTGCAAAGACTAAGATTCACACATGTACTCAATGCACTTCTGTCAGAGTCAAGGAGACGGAGTTCTTGCTTCTTACTGCTGTCAGATACGAAGGGAGACCTGGAGAAGATCCGAAGCAAATGCCAGTGCTGCGCAAGATTCCGAATGTCACTTCTCCACATCTTCCTTCATTTGGCGAAGCGATGCGAAGCAGTTGTACAGTCTGGAAGTCCAGTTGACACGTGCCAAGAGCACACTGACGAGATGTCCTTGTTTCAGGGGGTGCATGATTTTCAACTGCTGAAGAGGCCCAGTTTCGTTTGGTTCGTGTTCCAGGCTCCAAGAACTATCCAGGCATCTTGCCGTCAGTTGGTTAATGAAAGCCGTGCACCCTTCTGCCCTTCTGGAGTTTGTCTCTCAACGTCTTCTGGATGAAGGAAACTTGGACGAGAGGAGGAGCGGGATGGGGATCGGTAGCTACGTCATGTGGCATCCGATTCAGGGTTTTGGGTTGAATGAAGGATCTAGAACATTGGTGCTACTCCCAGCCGTCCCATGTGATGTGTGAAGCTTTGGGGCAGGAGGGTAGGACTAGCATTGTTTTCGCTTTGGGTATTGTGACCTCGAACAGGTGTATAACCACGTAAGTGTTAGAGTCTGTCGGCTTGGCTTCGTCTCCGGTCTTTGTTCTCTACACGGCTTCCACGGAGACCTTCGCGCGGAGAACGACTTCTTCACTTCCTGCTGCCGGGACGGTCCTTGGCTAAGACAACGCATGGCCGGACTCCGCTGGGAGTCCTGGGAGTTACGCGATTCGTATTTGATGTAAGATGGCAGAAGCGTCAAGGCACAGCTCGGTAAGGCATCGCCTGGGCTCTCCTCTTCAAGATTAGGTTTCTTGTGGGGGTGTGGGATAGAGGAAGCCAAAGTCTGTCACAGTCTCTTGGCTCCGCCTTTTCTACAATTCCTCGCCCCCGCCATAATCGACAAAGTTCTCGGCGAGAGGGTGTCGTTTTCCCGGTTGAGCTGAATTCCCCGCTTGTGTCATTGCTTTTTTTGATTTCCGGCCTAGTGGCCTCGTGGTTTCGGTTGGGGAAAGTGACGGCAAGTGGCTCCTCCAGAGTTGCACATAAGCTGGACCATCCTGATGACTGGAAGCCCAGCGTGAGTTACCGACCAGCCGACCGACGATGCGCCTTGGTGCCTTAGTGACTAAGCCTTAGTGTTTCTTCGTTCCTGCACGTGCTTGAAGACATCAAGCTTGCGACTTGGCATGCAGAGCCGGTGTTGAGCAATCGAATACGTTTTTGTAATTTTTTAAGGCTCAGTCGGTTCGCCAAAGTCCTTACAACATCTTCAATGTCCCAGACGCTTGACCAGGTAGCTCTGATAAGTTCGGGAGAAACTTGGAGCACTCGGTGCCGACATGTGCACGTTGCCGAGATGTCATGGACGATCTGGGCACGGCCTTCTCAATCCAAGTCCAGTCTCTTCCTGTAATATCTTTAGGCCCTTCACCTCTAAACTGTAGACCCAGAGGAGTGTTTCCACGGTAGCGCCCAAGACTGACCTTCTTTGGCTGAAGTCCGCCCTGGAGGAGACACAGCGTGACGCGCTCACCCGCTTCGAGGCCGCGTCGGAGACTTTCCCGTGTCACCTCGTGAATCCTCGTGACGTCCCCTGGCTTCCTCTGGTCAGGCAGACGTCTCTCCTCTGATGGGAACGGTGCTGTGAGCAGTCTCGGCCGCCCCCCGTAGAAGCAAAGACGGCTACTCGAAATCGACAGAACTGGAGCCGATGCCGAGGCTGCACAATGTACTGCCTTAGACAGTTGCTAGTGCAGAGTCTCGGGGCAGTGGAGGTCCTGATTGGGGAGTCCCGATTATGTAGCCGCGTAGGGAGCACCATGCCAGCAAGGCACTCGATGACAAAGGTGCTGACCGGACATTGAGAACGGGGGGGGGGGTTTCAAGTTGCAGTCAGATCGAAGCGAATCTGCAATGCTCATGCTGCCACACTGGTCCTGGTACTGGCACCCTGATAATCCTTGATATTAATATTGCTGAGGCCGCGCTCCTGACTCCACTGCTGGAGCAGCTCAGTCCAAAAGTTTACGTGGCGTCGGCCGCCTCAGTGCAGACTCTGTGGCTGTGCAACGTGCGTGTCTGAATCGCTTCAGGTAGTGCCAGTGCGTTGGAGCGATGTGGCAAGTGACGTAAAACCTCCGGAGGGAGCGATTTGTCTTTCTCACCTAGGTTCTGGCGTCAGCTGTCTTTTACATCTGCCGAAATCTACCAGGACAGATCTCGCAGTAGCTGCAGGCCTTGCAGGCCTCTTTTTCCGAAAGGAGCTCTTCGAGTTGAAGGGCAAGGGCAAGATGCTGGTTCCTCGGACCTTAGACATCTTAGAACTTGCCTGCCTGTCCTTGAGAGAGAATTCCGACATTCAGGCCCGGGAGCCGGTCTCTCAACTCCCTGGACGATGACGACGAGGCCGAAATGGGAAAGCCAGTGCTTACATATCCGCAATCAGGGATGATGTGCTTGGTAAGAACTACACGCTCTGCGTGGATCAACATGCATAGCCGGAAAGCGGGTGTCTGGCATGCTGGCCGAGTTCTCTGCGGTGGCATAGTCATTCAATCCAGGCGCGAGACCAATCGTCTTGTAGAATCGTGTAGTTAGGAGAACGATAGATGAAACAAACAAAGCCGGGTAGGCTCGGTAAGTTCCTAGCACCACACCATGGAATCGAAGCAGTTTATCTGAAAGTGCCTCAGGACGATGCGGCAGTGGATGTAAAGAAGGCAGCGAGGCGTGAAACAATTTGCATTGTGAAGCGCGGCCTAGTTTGCAAGGATCGTTTTGTAAGCGATAGTTCGGTACATGTCCAGGTGCAATGAGCTGGCGCGCAAGGCCATCAAACACTACGGGATCTTCCTGGAGAGCTACCAGCCAGTGCCGGGCTGTGTTGCCGATGATCCTGGTCATGCCGGTGCTACACGAGCGTCCAGCATCCGTCACTTGGGCGTTTGCGTCTCTGGCAGCGGAGCTTGCTGAGGATGGCACAACTGCAGAGAAAGTGGAGAAAGACCATGCCAGCACGTCCCGTCCTGAATTGTGACGAAGCGAGATGGCCAGGTTTCTATGCCAAAGCAGCACGAGGTACCTGATTGGGAAGCTGAACCGCGCGCGTCTTCGCACGAAAATGAGAGGTGACTCGCATTCATCGCATGGATTAACAGAGGGCCAACCCCACTTGCGACCACAGCGGCTCCTGTAGTTGAGTGAAGGACTCCCTGCGGATGACAACATCGAGGAGTGCGATGCTAAGCATCTCTTGGGCTCCCGACCTGGGGAAATGAGTATGTCGCAGCCGTTGTGGCAGTTTCCACAGACCATGCACTTGCTGGGTTCTTGAGGCACAAGTTGGCATTGAAAGAATACGAAGAGATCCTCCAGTACGGCGACCGAAATCCGGAGGCATGCAAGTTTCATGTCGGTGTCGAGAGCTTTCCGAGGAAAGGATTTCTACCCAGGCATGAGCCTCATTCGCCACCACCCGCAGCCGATGCGCCGGGCCAGGTGGTTGATGCCGACGTGAACATGTCCATGGAGCTGAAGCTCTGTGCCGAGATGGTGCGCTCCTCATTTCTCATCGGTGCCGGTGACGACGCCAAGTGTTTCTCGGCCCAGGTGGGCCTGCTTCCAACTAAGCTTGCGCGCCTGGCAAAGCGGCGGAGCCGATGAGTTGAAAAAAGCAGTGCTGGTTGACGCTCCTGTGCTTGGGGCTCGACGCCTGCATTGATTGATGGAATCTCCAAAGGAAACCCGTCCTGTGGTCCCTTGACCCAAGTGAAAGTGCGAACGCCCAGGCGCTTCTGCCAGAATAAACTAAAGCACAGGCATTTTGGGATCCAAAGCCTGGCAGGTGTGTTTGACCACTAACGATTGTTGTTGCTGCTGTGGCTTCGCTAGGATGTTGGAAGATGGTGACCGAAAAACAGGCCAAGAGCGAGACTATACTGTCACGAAAGCTAGCTCGGTGGAGCTTGCGTGAGTTGTCGTTTGGACCTTGTTTGGTCCTTGCACAGGCGGGGGTAGCCCCCCCCGGAACATCCCGGAACCCTCCCCCGCACCAATACAAAGTGGCATCAGTATTGTACAAAGACAGGAGGTGGGCCTCTCTCTTTTGGTCCCCATCCCTGCCCCCCCTCACCCCCCACAGGAAGGTCTATCTGATACGCGACATGGCAGCTGACATGTTATCTTTACGCTGCCGAGTGCGTCTTGGAAGCAGGTTTTAAGTTTGCTGCCTCAGTAATTTTCTAAGCTGCCACGAGTGCTTGCCTCCACGCTGCCGAGCATGCACGCAATAGCGACGGAGCTCTATCGACTCTGCTTCCTTTTGTTGCCCTAGCGTTCGTGCCCTTTTCACAAGTACGGATCTGTGCGGCGAGGCACGTCCGACAAGGCGAGCGACGGCTGACAAGACGGGGACTGTTTAGCCGCCTTTGGCCTGACACAATGGGACATAATGGGACGTGCGATGCGCTGTGCGGGCCTCCCACGGCCGACAACGAAAGGAAAGGCGCAAGTGCAACCTGCACGGGTGCGTTGCAGCGCCGCCCAGGCAACCCGACTCGTTGGGATTTTGCTTCGGCCACCTTGTCTTGCTTTCGCTCTCAGCCTCGCGCCTGCGCGGCACACCGTGGCGCACCGATCTCAGCGGGTCTCCTTGCGCGCCATGTTCGTTCGCGCCCTGACAGATGCAACCGGTTTCGTCTCACATGTCGAGCCACTCGATGAGCCACTCGTGCGTGCTATGGGTGTCTCAGGCTTCGCGAGCAAGGCACCTGGCACGGAACCCCTCCTGACGTGGCACCATACTGGCATGGCCTGCATGCTTGTTGGAAGATGTTGGAAGTAACAGGCGAAGTGCTGCCCCACAACGCGGTCTTGTGAGCCGTCGCAATAAAAAGCAGACGCTTGCTCCCTGCTTGAGTGCTACGCAAACCGTTTTTCCGCACATTTTTTCGAGCAGCGTATGCAGATTTTAGGTACGGTCCCTGTGAATTTTGGAGCAGGACAGTGCAGCCATCGCTCGTGCTGCCAAACCTCGTACACAGCCGGCTCACCGGCAGCAAAGCCGGCTGCGTCGAGACGTGTCCTCAAGCAGTGAGCTGGCAAGGGGTCTGGGTTCCGGAACTGCGGCACTCCAGCAGTGCCCACAAAGCCGAACGGACGGCAACGGCAGCGAGTGCATGCACAGCTCGCGCCAGTAACCGCAAGAAGAAGGCTGCGGGTTCGGAGCCACGGGCGGTGGCAGCGCGGCGATTGCAACAACTCCGGGTAGGTGTCGCGACGCTTGTCCCGCATCACAAGCTGGAAGCCAGGCCACGTGGAATCCAGGTGGAGAGTCAGCGTGTCGCCGCGGCCTCAGTCCTTTTTCCTTGGCGACGAACGCTCTGCGTGCACTTTTGCTGCCCATAGATTTTCGAACAGTGGACATGTCCCTCTCTTGATGCTCTGCCGCAACGCACTCCGTTTGTTGCATCCTGTGCAGTGCCTGCCTCACATCTGCTAGATGCTGCTAGATCCTATGCCCTTGGTTGCTAACATGCCCGCAGACACATTTGACTCGCAACACTTGCCGACTCAATCTCCAGTTGAACTTGACAAAGGATGCGACACAGGTGTTGTTAGTAACGATCCGACGTTGACATATTGTGTCTTACAACAGTCGCTGTCAGCGATGACGGAACGTGTGGGTACCTGGTGCTCATGTCTCTTTGGCTCCTGAGTTGGCCATTCGCCTCCTGGGCTGACCGCGGTCCAGAGCGACGACCAACTGCAGCCTCCAGGGGATTCGCCACAATGTCGATACCTGAACACGGCCTTGTTTCCAAAAGTTCTTGACAATTTACTGATACAACACGGGGGAGGTAGCACCCTGCGGTGCAGGGCTGGTGGTCCTCTCAGTGCCAAATGGCCCCCTTAGAGTTTGCACTTGTAGCTGTCGACCACGTTGCTGTGGTAGCGCCCTTGTATTTCCAGATTGTACTGTAGCAAACAAGGGTCAAATGCCTGCCGGAGTCCCAGGGGAAATTTAAGGGGCGGGCCAGGCATGTCATTGGCTCTGCACCATTTAGACCATGCCTCCACAATCTGTTGGCACTGTAGAGGTCTTTCTTGTCTGGAAAGAAAGTGTTGGCCATGGAGCCGTTGATGATGTCCTTTTTCCAAAGTGGACAAGGACGACGAGCGAATGCCCGCGAAGTTGCGGCTGTGCTCTCTGATTACACATGTAAGAGGTGCTTTAGTGACAAGGGCACCGGAGCACCAGCGTGATACAGTCAAATGCTTTCTGTTTTAACACTCTGGCTTCCGCCACCGTGACCGGCTTGGGCGCAAATGGCACCGGCTTCGGTAGTGCCGTAAGAGTGGAGAAGAATGGGCTACTGCACAGCCTAAGGTATTAACATGCGTGAACCTCTAATTTGCCGCAGGTAGTGCCGCATCTGTGTTCGTGCAACGACGTTTCTGTAGACTCGACCTACCATCACAAAGCTACTCGTCACAAAAACGGCCCTGTGCAAGCAGGTGCTTCACAAGCTTTTTCGTCACAAATGCTTGCTCTTGGCAAGTTGAAACCCAACAGACGAAGTTGAAGTTACAGACGCTTGCTTTGGCAAGCTGGCTGCTGTGGCGGCGGCTCGGCGTATGGGATGTGCGCCGGTGGTCGGGCTGGGGACGGCGGATCAAGTTGCAGATCTCAATGACACGGAGAGATCTTTGCGGCGCAGAGGGTACAGGCTGGGACACCCTCGACGAAGGCGCCATCACCGCCATTGCGGGCTGGAGACGACGGAGATCCAGCTGGAGGAGGCGCTGCCCGACGCTTTCATCCCATCGACGATGCTGATGATTGTTGATGTCGGGGCCTGGGGATCCCCGGCAAACAAGTTCTTGGGGTCGGCGTCTGCAGGCGTCTCGAGGAGGAGCCAGACCGGTGGCCACGCCGAGCGGCGCATGCAGCGACGGCGAAGAAAAACCGTTGTCCAATTTTCGCGTTAGAGCCTTTGCGGAGCCGCCCCCCCATTGCAGTCGCCTGAACTGTTATTTTTGAGCTTTAGCCACGAGCGTTTGATTGCATGCCTCATATTTTTTCGAGCGTATGCAGCAGCTTAGTGCCGGATTTTACAACGTGCTCCTGCCACTGCACAGCCACTGTGAACAACGAGCACCCTTTGCTGCAGGCCTTACCCCCCGGCGCCGATTGCCCCGCGGGGCCACATGAGCAGCCGTTTGCCCCATTGGTACATGCGGACATCCACAGATGTTGAAGAAGAAATCACGTAGAACCGCACTTTGACAAAGACCATGTTCAATAGCTCCATCATCTGACATAGTTGATTAAATCCGTGCTTGTGGAACAGTGGCGCAATGCTTGCTCAACTTCAAGCAAAGGCCCGGCGGGGAGCTGCCGCCGGGCCATCTGGATGCACAGCTGAGAATTTGCGCACTTTGATTGATGACGAAAGTTGCACCGATTTACTCCTCCACGCCGCCTGACTCTTGTCCGCAGGGCGTGTGCCGGCACAGGTCGTCGGGATGGCCTCCGTCTTGGGCGGCTGGTTGCGAGAAATGAACGGAGGCATACGTGCTCTCGTAATGGGAGATCGCTTCCGTCGCCTAGTGTCCCGGACCTTGACTCAACAGGCATCGGACGCCTTCATGGATGCTTGTAGCCCGTTCCAGTACGCGCTCTCCATGTGCGGTGGGACTGAGGCACTTGCCCGCGCCCTCGCGTTGCCTTGTGAACTGAGTCCGAGTAAGACGGTTGTCAGCGTTGACGGAGTTGGTGCGTACGATCACATTGCCCGGGCGGCAATGTTTGAAGGCCATGCAGCTAGCGCTCAGGAGAGACCTTCGCTTGCCGCCGCCCTTGGCTGTATCCCGGTGTGGAGGACATGGCGAGCCAGGCTGCAGAGCCGTGGTCGACTAGCTGGGCGATCACCGCGCCGCCTGTGGTCGCGCGGAGGCGCAAGCAGCGTCGCGCTCCACGTCACTCTTTTCCTTTCGTGTTGGTGTCTTGTAACATGTTGCATGCACGCATTTCCCAACATGTGCCGTTCATGTAGCTCCTTGGCTGCAGCATGCACATGCGACGATTTTCACACACGCGTGCATTAGATTAACCGGTGGTTTGTTTAAGGA